TATATATATATATATATATATATATATATATATATATAATAACAATTATAATTAAATCTTAAGGAAAGTTATATGGATCTCTTTATCTTACACTTTACAGTTATAGGTAACGTTTATAAATAACGGGTAAATAATAATGATTTAAATAAATTATATATAATTATAAGACAGTTTGCACCTCAGGATCTCGAACAGTGCGCAAGCATGCTCTATGAAGACGAAATAGATTGTGTCAATTGCTGCTAGGATTGCTATACTTATGATGTAACCGTAATACATGATTATGAGCAGAGTGTAGTAATATTTTTCTTGATCCACCAGCATTTCGGCCGGATGCATAAGTTTTTTCGGTCTCGTTATGTTTAGCGGCGATACAATATCGAGTGCTCGGTTTACGAGCGGCAATAATGAATAACCGATGACAAATGCAATTATGAAACCTAAACGGAACGTAGTTTACAAGTAGTATTACGTACGGACACATATGTAACACGTCAGTGCTCGATTTGTACACACCTAAATATACCGATGTAAATCTCCACGTATATTCCATGTACTTTCTGAAAATTCGTTCCGCTTCCATCGAGAGATTCATCCAATCGTCATGAACTTGTTGGAGCATAATTTTGAACTGGTCGTAAAAACATTTGAGTCAGGGCTATTTCGTACTACACGATCTGCAATTGTAGTAAAGGGATATGCTTACTTTTTTGAAGTGATAATTTAAGCTAGCAAATTTCACCCCGCACGTTACGCTGCCGGATATCACGGGCATCAGCTCCAATATGCGGTCCAGATCGTCCGAGTGCATGAGCACGAACAAAATCTGATGGAAACAAATAATCATTTGATTACTTAATTATTGTTCCCTGTTACGCAATATTTATATTAAAAATAATTGTAATTTACTGAAACCTCATCTGATAATATTATCTTATACATTCTTGTACGCAATAAGAGTGTAATAAAATTAAATTAACATCTGAAAACTAAAAATATATCTTCAACGAAAAAAAAAAT